ACTGTGACAGGCATAGTATTTAAGTTGATGTAGTGTTATCAATATGATGTTAGTGTTGATACTGCATTGCTTGGATTAACTTCTGCCTCCTTTCAGAAGCCCAGGAATGACAGTTAAATTGGTGTAAGCACTCCTGGTGAGGACATGCACGGCTGACATTGTGGACATGTAACACTGATCAAAGAACTGCTGTGCCTGTACACAGATATGACTTATGTTGATGTAATTCCGTAGTGTAGGTTTACTTCAGTGAAGCATTATTGTCCTTGCCTACGGTGGAATTTTCCCTGGAATTGTGAGAATTTGCAGTCTTATGTATTCTAATTTATTAGCCAGCTGACAAATAATATTATTGTCAGTGTCCGGTTCAGAGTATAGAGGATATCAACTTAAACTGGATATACAGCTACAATAAGTGAGGTTTGTAGATACTGAATCAGTAACTACACAAAAGATTTGGAAAACAAGTCAGGTGAAGCATTACAGTATGTTGTAATAACATGCATGTTAGAGCGAGTGGTGTTTTTATGATATTTTTGCGTGGGTGGGGGGGAATATGGGAGAAAGGAAAGTAGGTTTAGTCTCATTTTGTTTGCTTCCTGAATTTCCTCCTATCACATAAGGATCATAGAACCAGAGTAATATTTGTAATGAGCTTTGGAAATGAAAGAAGTGTTGTCTAGTTGTTCTTTGTCTCTTCAGTTCCATTAAATAAATAAAAAATGAGGTAGTTCTGAAATGTGTTCAGTAACCGCTGTAGTGTTTTCATATGAGGCTTTTTCATTAACAATTTATATTTAATGTTTTTATGCAGATTTGGTCTATTCATGAAGTAAGGCATTAATAATGTTGCCTTGCCCATGCTCGTACATGTTCAATGCAATCCTTATACTAGGGATGTGAATGTGTACATGGTTAACTGATGAGACCGGGGTAACTGTCTAATGTGCACAGTTAGACGCAGCCTCCTCCGCCCTGCTACGTCTGTATTAGAGTTATTGAGGCAGCAGCACAGTGTGGGGGGAGGAGGTGGGAGCTGGTATGTGCAAGGAGCCACCTGCCCCCTCCCATTGTACTGCATACATAAGTAGCAGCATGGGATAGGGGAGGTTGGTTGGAGCCAGTTCTTGTGGGGAGCCAGCTTAAAAGCCATTTCCCCACAAACATTGGCTCCTGCTATCCTTCCTCCCATCCTCCGCTGCTGCCTCTGATAGCTTTTGGAGGCAGCAGCTGGGGGAGGGGGAAACAGTCAGCTACACAGGAGTCACCTACCCCATGTGTCTACATGTGTAAACAGAGAAAGTTTTCAGCAGTTGCATATTTCCCTAGATCAGTAGTTCCCAACCTGTGGTCCATGACGGTACTGCAGGGGATCCATGGAAAGTTTAAAAGTAAGGATTGGGCCCCAATTTTTCTTTTTCTTTTTTCTTTTTTCACTTTTTTCTTTTCCTTTTTTTCCTCCCCCATGGTGGGGGTCAATGAAATTTTAATAGATTGACAAGGGGTCCAGATGCTCGCAAAGATTGGGAACCACTGACCTAGATAAACCTACCTAATACTGTTCTGCCAGAGCACCTTTATCCTGACCTGCAAAGTTGTTGTTCCTGCAGTTCTGGGATTTTTAGACAGCATTTGCAAATTGAGCTTAAGTGTATGGTGGGCAGCTTCTAAGAACATATGAATGCCACACTGAATCAGACAAATAGACATCCAGTCCACTATCCTGTCTAGCGCTGTACATAACTAGATTCAGCAGAGTCTGATGTAAGAAACCCATAGCCAGCAGGGGCTTCATCTTGATCTCTAATAGAGTGGCTAAGCCCTGCAGCAACACATTAAATATTCCTTCCAAAATTATTGTTGGTAATGATGAGAACTCTGGATATTTTGATTTCCTGTAAACATCCTGTCACTTTTTTTGAATCTTGCTAAATTCTTGGTCTCCATGTCTTCTCATAGCAGTGAGTTCCACAATTTGTGTGCATTTCATGAAAAAATTTCCTTGAACCCATTTGAATTTTCCATCTTATAATGCAATTGAATGTTTTCTTAGGGTGAGTGGTGATTTTTTTCTTTTGAGATGAGGGAAACAAGTACTACACATTAGACATGCTGTTGATTTATAGATGGCCTTAATGTCTTATTGATCACTGTCTATAGTGTCACCCAGGTCCCTTTACTAGTTAAGTGGATAGTCAAGTAAGCACTCTGGAAACATATGAGTAGTTTTAATTTTTTTTCCCTACCAATATGCCTTACTTTGCATTTATCAACAATTAACTTTCCCTTCGTGTTTCCCATTCATCTAGTTAGTTTAGGTCTTTCTTGAAGTTCATCACAGTTTACTCTGGTCCCAAATAACCTAAATAATTTTGCATCAGCTGCATAGTGCTACCCTACTGTTCACCTCCCTTTTCAGATGATTAAAAAATACTGGTCCTACTACAGGTCTTTATGATGTGAACACACACGCACAAAGGACTAGAAGGCTACAGAGCAGGTGGGGTGAGCAAGCCATCGTATCTGGCCACGAACACTGTGCCAGAACCCTCAGGAATGCAGCAGCCACAGATTAAGCGAGGACGTCTCCATATGCCTCTTTGCTTTGGAGGAATGGGGAGGCTTCGTGTGATTTCCCCACCTCAAGCCCAATCTTCAGCACCTATTGGCCAGAAACAACAAACCAAAAGGAGCTGAGAGATTGGCCTGGGGGATGGGAGGGGGGGGGAGAGGGCAAGCCGCTCCCACCTCCCAGAGCTGAGAACCATATAGAGAGAGCAGCTTGCATTTTCAAGTAGTCTGGGGCTACAGCAGGGAGGGAGCCCTGCCTGCCTTGGGAGGGCTGCTTGCTGGGAGACACTTATATAAGTGCCTCCCAGATAGGGCCTGCCTCTGGCATCCCTCTGCCCCTCCTCATAGGCGTGCGCAGTACATTTCATTAGGGTGTGCACCCAAAGAATTTTTTAAAAATGTACTTTGATCCCCCCATTAAACACACCCTGACCCCTATTAGCCTTGCCCCCGGAGGTAACTGTCTCTGGGCAAGATGGGCACATGACCAAAAGTAAAAAGTGATGTCACCCCCCTCCTCCCCAAGGACTTTTCCCACCATCCTCCTACCAATAGGGATTAGTTTGGCCCCCACCAACCCTCCATGCAACTATCCTGCAATTGCATTAATCCAATGCGTGACACATTAATGCAGGGGTGGAGAGGTTGGGGGAGAGGGGCGGGGGAAGTGTTCCCTCTAAGAGTTTCCTCCCATGAGCAGAATGAATTTTGTGTTGTGCACCAGTACTGAATTCATGTGGCTTGTGTGGATGTGCCATTGTGGCACCCAAGTTATTAATAAATATCTTATAAACCTTTACCTTTCCCCTCTGCTGCCATGTCTCCTCCCCTTGCTCCATCAACTCCCCTGGTGCCTGCTGCCCCCCAACCCTTCACCCTCCTCTGCTGTCCTGACTCCTGCCCTTCTCACTGCCCTCAGCCTTCCTGAGACCTGACCCCCTCCACCAGCCCTTCTCGCCCCCCATGCCCACTCCTCCAGTAGCCCCACTCTGATCATGTGAGCTACCCCTCTTCATCCCTTCATCTAACGCCTCCCTCGCCTCTCTCCTCTGGTGCTGATCCATCCCCTGCAGGTGTCTGCCCGTCTGCTTCACCCCCAGAAACCCCTGGCCCCTACACCTTCCCTTACCCCTGCACCCTCCTGGTGCCTCCCCCTTCCCTCACTGCCCCTGCCCTCTTTGCCCTTTTTTCCCTGATGCCCACCCCTTCACCACCCTCTTCCCCCATTCCCCTCATGCCCCTGTGCCCTCACACATGACTTACTCCAACCCCACTTTCCTCATGCCTACCCCTTCTGTCAAGCCTTCTCCCAGCACCTCCCTCTCCAATCCCCAATGCCCTTACCCTCTCCTCTTCCAGCTTCACCCTGTCCCCCCTCCCACTGACACCTCCCTCCTGCCCTTTTCCTCATCGTCTCCACTTCGCCCCCTAGCATTTGTCTCCTCTACCCTGTCCCTTTGGTGCCTTCCCTTTTCTTTCCCTTCCCCCGTCCATACAAGCCCCTTCCACCCCTTTCCCTTTCTTCCTCCTCCACCATCCCCCCCTACTGCAAAAGCTCCTTCCTCTCCCACCCCTTCCTCTTATTTCTCCCCTCCCCCCTTACCTTCAGCTTCTGCCTTACAGTTGCAGGGCTGGAGTCAGAGCCAGCCCAAGCTGCAGTGCTGGGGAGGGGCGCCCCCAGGGTGCCGTGCAGTAGGATGGGGCGGGGACACCGCCAGGGCACCGCGTGGTGCTGCAGGGCCGGGGCGCCGATGCCCTCGGGGCGCCAAAATGGCTCAGGCTGCCGTCTGTAGTCGGGCCCCAGCTGCTTTTGGAGCTGGGCTGCTGAGTTTTAAAGTTCCCGGTGTTTCCCCTCTCACCTGTTGCGTGGCGTCCTCAAATGCCACGCATGCGTGCTCTCTGCCCCACAGTGCCCAGTAGTTGTCTGCGGGGAATTTAAAGTGAGGGGCTGTGGTACTCTGTCACAAATCCCCCTCTTCCTCCAGCTTCTGGCTGGCCCCAGACATTAGGGTGTGCCTGGGCACACCCGGCGCACGCCTATGCCCCTCCTGCATCCCAACTCCCTCCCCCAGGTCACCATCCAAACCCTCTGTACCCCCTGTCCCTGGTCACAACTCCTTCCCATACACTGTACCCTTTCCTACACCCCTCACCAAGGCCAGATATCTCTCTTGCACCCAGACGCCCTTCCGGACCCTGTACCGAAATCCCCTGCCTCAGAACATAACCCCCTCCTTCACCCAAACTCCTTCTCAGACCTCCCCATTTCCTGCACCTCAGTCCTTACCTCATGTGCCCTTCTGCACCATCCTAGACCCTGCACCTCCTCCACAGAAAAGTGTGGCCCTTGACCACTTTCCAAAATCTTGGAGTGCCTCCCCATCAAAAATTATTACCCACTGCTACAGAGGATACCTCCAGTAATTTATAAATGATTTAAAAACATGTTTCAACAGATAGAGAAAGAAAGATCTTCTATCTCCCATATTTGGTTACAGATAGTGATATTATCGATCTTTCTTTTACAGAACTTGTCCAGACGCATTTCAAATCCTTACCTGGAAAATCCTTCAAGCAAGGTATTTTTAAAACTGTTTTAATTCCACATTCTAAAAACTTAGTAGGAACTAGGAAGTATAATTATTTTGTTTCCCTTGCTTAATCTTGGCTTTTGATAATATATGAATATAGCTGGCAGTTAGAGCCACTTGTACAATTTTTGGCTTGTTTCTATTAGAAAATTTAAAATCTTTGTAGCTACTGTGGTGTAAAGCCAGATGTAGACTCACATCGCATGAGTTATAATCACTTTTATACCAGTTTAACTTAATTTGGTAACTGTATATTTAAGTGTTTATAACTTTCTGTATCTAGATAATCAACCAATTTCTCTTTTCATTTTAGATTTATGGAGAGAGTTCATCCTGTGCTGGGAGAGCTCTCAGGAATATTTTTACAGTTCAAGCTTCTGAGCTGATTAAAGACAGAGTGTGCCTTACAGGAATTTGCAGGTAACAATGTTAATTTGCTTTAATTGCAGTATTTTTGTGTGTGTGTTGGTTTATGCCCTAATTTGAGGGCAGTAGGCTTATATTAGCTCCCTTAATAAATAAGCATCTGAATATTACCATATTTCATTATGGTGGTAATCCCTCTGTTCTAAAATCAGATTTGTCAATTTTATGTGTTCACTTTTTTTATCGTATTCCTTTGGTATGCCAGTTTTCTTCCACTATTTGATCTGAGGAAGTGGCTCTTGCCCACGAAAGCTCATCACCTAATAAACCATCTTGTTAGTCTTTAAAGTGCTGCATAGTCCTGTCTTTTGTTTCAGCAAGATCAGATTAACACGGCTACATCTCTCTTACTATAGTGATCCTAAGTGTAATTTACACAATATCATGACAATGAAATGAAGACTGTATAACCACATCATGCAACAGTGCAAGTCGTCTTCCTGTTTTCAATCATGCAAAAATCACAGGGTTTTGTTTTAATACCATTAATTCAAGTGGTGTGTTTAAAAACAAAATGCAGATTGTTTATTTTTGTCGAATTTAAAAGTGAGGCTATTCCTTGCAAGTAATGCAAAGAAATCCTAATAAAAAGGCTCAGCCCCGCTCCCAAGTCAAGATTATTTGTATTATAATGCTTAGCTCTATTGCTTACATCTATAATGAAGAAGAATTTTAAGCATGAGGTTGAAGGTTCAATATTTGGGCTGGCTAGTTCCATGTTCAACATTGATCTATTTACAAAAAAATCTTCTATATATTTGAGAGAGTCTGTCTGTGTGTGGGCTTGTTGAACTCCTCTGAAATGGTAAGAGCTAGGACTACTGAATTTAGTATGCCACTTCCTCATGATGACTTAAATCAAGGTAAGGGTTTTGTTATGTTAAGACAACAGGCTATGTCTGGGATGGGATTGTTTCTCATAAAACCACACAGAAAAGATACAGAATCACTAGTCAGTTGGAAGGCTGGAGTGCTCCCTTTTCCCCCCACCCCGCCTAGGACTGCCCCAACCCCAAGCCTCCCATCCCCCAGATGCCCTTTAGAGAGAGTGGGGGGAGGGCTGAAGCTTTACCATTCCCAATTCAAATAAGGATGTGATTGGCTGTTCCCCTTTGTCAAAGAGTGAGGGGATTGTGCAGTTTGCTGTATTCCTCACTCTGGTTGGGGAGTGCGGGCAGCAAACAAACCTGGGCCTGCCCCAGCCAGGGGAGATGTATCTCTTTCCTGGCTGTGCCCGCTAGATCTATGGAGAGGAACTTCTCACCTAGCCCCAAGCTGCTGCAGTTGTGCGAGGGTTGGGGTAGTCTTCTCTCCCTGGGGAAGCCTGCATACTGAACCCCCCTCATCCCCAGCCTAAACCCAGAGCAATGATTCAAATGAAATATCTCCATTTTAATTTTATTTTCTGAAAAACAGAAATTGAGTTAAGAATCTGAGTAACTCCAGGTAAATCTTCTAGTATATATACTGTACATACATAATATAATGCTCAGTTATGTACATACATTTATCTCACAAAGCCGCTAATGATGTAGAATACAATTTTTAATTGTCATGTGACATCTTCCTTTGTTAAGTTGATCAAAGCCTTTGCATTTCAAGAATATAGGTACTTCACCTTGTTTGTGGGAAATTAATATATTGCTGTATGTGATGTCCCAATTGGGACGCCTCTGAGTTAGAGGCAGATGGTCATCATCCAACAGATTGGGGCCATATAGGTTTTACCTCCCTTGCCTGGGACTCTGTTTTGGCCAGACAACAGATGTTCCTGGACCTCAGAGTCCAGGTGTAAGGAGGTCAGCCACATGGTGGGAGGAAGGGGGAGAGGATAGTGGTGTGACTCAGCCAGGAGCCCTGTGTTGAGGCAGCAGGGAGTTCTGGCCCCTGCTACTGGGTGGTAGCAGGGGCCGACAGCCCCAGAAGCCATGGAGCTCCAGCCTAAGGAGCCATGGCTGGGCAGGCAGCAGTGGGGCTCAGCTGGAGTCCTAGCTGGGGTCTGCATGGGTCATGTTGGGAGGGACCCCCCCTTGTTCAGCAAATCCCCTTGTTTGGGACCAATCAGGTCCTGAGGGGGTTGGATGAGGGAGGTCCAACCTAAATCTAATCTTATTAAATGAGTACCCCATGCCAGCTGTCAGCCTGGGCTTACGTGTATTTTAGGTAAGGGTGATCTTCTGCAGAAATTATTTAAAAAACAATATATCTGAAGATCCAAGCATTTAAGGCTAATGCTGAATACTCAGATTGTGCATTTAAAAATCTATGCAACAATTTTTTTGTAGAGATGTGATTTTATACTCTACAGCAACACACAATTAAATATTTCAAACAAGGGTCCTCTAGAGTGCATTATTACTCAGAACATGATACAACTGTTTCTACAGGCAGTCCCCGACTTACACGGATCCGACTTATGTCGGATCCGCACTTACGAACGGGGCTTTTCTCGTCCCGGAGCTCACGGGCGGCGGGTCGCCACCCGTGTCCTCCGGGGCGAGAAAAGCTTCTCCCGGTCTCCCTGGTCTGCTGGGGGGGTCCAGCAAAGCCGCTGGACCCCCCCAGCAGACCAGGGACACCCGAGCAAAGCTGCCGCCTGGGCGGCTTTGCTCGTTTGCCCGGGAACCCCGCCCCCTGGGCGGCTTTGCTCCTGTCCCCCTGATCTGCTGGGGGGGTCCAGAAAAGCTGCTGGACCCCCCCACCAGACCAGGGACACCTGAGCAAAGCCGCCAGCGGCTTTGCCGGACCCCCCTCCCCCACCAGACCAACCAGCCACGAGCA